TGTTAAGCTTTGTACACTTACTTCTTCCAATATACCTCTTAGTCGAACATTATTTCGCCGTGACCTGTCTTCCAGGTTCATAATTTTAAGTTCTTGGGAGGCTATTTGCTCCTCAAACCGCAAAAAAAGCGTTTTTCAGTCTCAGTACATGAGTTCCGTAAATCAGTCTCCACATTATGTATACGTGCAGTTAACTCTATCAGATCTTTCTTAACTTCAGAAATAGCATCTGTGAACGTAGACTGCATTCTTATAACTGCGTTATCAAGCATAATTTGTAATACTCGCTGTGTGAGTGGGGCCTCCAAAGTTTCATTTGGCTGCTCTATAAGTTGCTCCGTGTCTGAGAACTCAGCATGGTCTTGAGACATATACTCAGCTTGCTTTGAGGATTTAGCCGCGAAAAAAGCTGACTTGTCTCTAATCTCAGCAGGCTTCTTAGTACGCTGAGTCGACATAGTAACCAGTAACCAATGACCAGTAACCGGACAGGCAGACCAAATAAGCTGGAAAAAAAAAAGAGCTGGAGTAGTTAGATAACCAGGTTGTGACTTCAAAAACGGTCCGTGCAAGCCGGACCGACCAGTAGATAAACAAGGCTACAGCGAGGCTACAGTAAAGCAGTTTTTTTTTGCTGCGGTGTTACAGCCGGGTTACCGCGAGGCGAGGCTACAACAGGGACTTTTTTTTTTTTCCTAGCCGTTGTATGAGCCCGAGCTCGCTTAGCTAGCCGCCACGCCGCTCAACATCTGGTCCCGCCCCCCTTCTGTGCTTAATTGTGACATACAATCTTATGTATACTTACCTTTTATTACGTATTTTATTATTGTATTTATATTTTTGTGTATACATATATTGTATTTTATTAATGTTACAGTTGTATCTATGTTTATATTCTGTTCTAATAGTATTCACCTATGTTAATCTATTGGAATATGTTAGTGACCTCTGATGGGTTTCAAACTTGTAGAGTTGTATGTTCCTAGTCTGATGCTCTACTGGTGCAGCCACCTGCACCATATAACTGTCTGTTATCCTTTTCTGAGTATTGAACCTGCTTGTCTGATCATAAAACTCAACTCAGAGGTTCCTACTTAACCTAATATCACATGACATGTTCTTATTTACTTCCGCATCACGTGATGTTATAATTTATATAATTTCATACACTGTAAAACCTCATTTTTTAATATTTTGTGTACAAATAATGCTTCTGACTTCTATACTATATTTTAAACACTCTTATATTGACTTTTTATATTTTCCACATTTTTATAGAATTTTGGCGGGAATTTCAATTTATCTGTGCAATTTTATGTTTTCTTATATAAGTGCTATATGTTAGGTCTGTTTTTCTCTTTTTATAAGTTTCTACTTGATGAAGCCTATTGTGGCGAAACGCGTATAGGAACTTTTTATATAATCTAAGTGTTAATAAAGGAATATTTGGCTATTATACATTTGGTTGCCACATTCCTCTTTCCACCTTAGTATTATATTACCTTCTTTTAGTATAATTTTATTATTTTACTATTTGCAAGTTTATTTTATTCAGACCTGACTACTACTACCTTTTTTGTCCATATTGGAGTACCAAGAATCCTAAGGTGGGGATTATACCACCCATACGCCATCCACCGAGCAGTACGTCTGCTCTATATACCGTGAGTATATTTTATTCTGTTTTTACATTTTATCAACTATACAGTGAGCACTATATTTTATTCTTTTACCTCGAGCTGGACTACTCCACCAAAGTACTCTGCTAAAGAACAAAAGAGGAGCACCATATATCCTTGAGTGGGGATTATTCCACTACGTGCCATTTACACCAGAGCTGGATTTAAGCTCTGAATATTGTGAGTAGTTCTACTATTCTATATACAATATTATTTACCGTTCATACTATACCATTGGAGTTTCCCTTGTCTTCTGTTTTCTTCACATATCCATTTTGAAGCTGCGGATATACATCTGGGACTTCACAAACAATTTTATCTAGCACTAGGACTCCTTCCTGCATATGTGGATTATTTATATTCGGACTTTCTAGGTATCGCTGCTTGGACTCTCTGATACATATTTTTATACATTCATTCTACTTGTCTTAGGCGCACCCTTATTTGTGCTTTTCTCTCCATTGTATTCCAAGGGGCTTAGAGGGGATTCCCCTTTTCCATAGGTGTGCTGCCTTGCTGCCATATTCTCTGTTTTCCTATCAGCGCTGAACCTCCTTCCTGATAAGGTGCTACAATCACTGTGTGTTTCACTCCAAAACACACAGAAAATAGTGCAAAATACAACAAAAATGGTGAGAACACACTAAATAATAGCAAGTTACCACACTTGGCACATACAGTTGGTATAGCTGTAAACAAAAAGGAATATATTTATAGGGTAATATAGTTAAAACTATATAATGTGAAAAATAAATATCCACTCACCTGGTTCTGAGCCACTTCACAAGCTGGCTCAGACTAAAATCTCTGTATAGAAGTAACGGTGGCCACCTTGTAAAAATCTGGATGTTCTGGTTTAATGATTTCCCTCCTTTCCCAGTATGGCACGAACAAGGAACTCCAAACAACTGAATACGGGTGTATAAAAGCACCACTGGCTTTATTAAGAACAAACAATAAAATAAAAATAAAAATCTTACAAACTTAGGTAAATAGTAGTCCACCTCCAGTTACACGTTTCGGCCGGTTGGCCTTTATCAAATGTGTCTCTTCGTCTTCCTTTTTAAAGTATTTTGGCACCTTCCTCCGTGTTACCAATATTCACTTCCAGGTTCGCGACCTTTACATATGCAGACATCTCAACGTCCCTTTGTGTCTTAGAAAGTCCGCCATGTATCTGGAGTAATACATTATAATAAGGGGGACACAATGTAACCCATGGAAGTAAAGAGAAGCAAGGCATAAAACATATATAAGAAATATATATAAAACCCTATAAACCTAATAATATATCATGCAAATTCTAATGAGGAAATAAAGAAGCATTAATAAGGACGCAAATTAGAAACAAGTGAATTTCCTACAGTGAAGAAAGGAGAGAAATTAATAAAAACAGTATAAGAAATCTGTATAAAAATCTAAATAAAATAATTGTGTGTGTGTGTGTGTGTGTGTATGTATATATATATATATATATAAATCTAGAGAGCCCCTGCACTCCAACCATAACAATAACATTGAAAAATACCTGGTGCTCTGGAAGCTGAATAATAAAAAACAAGAAAAATACCGGCACTCAAGGGTTTTCATCAGATTAAGTCTTCATTTATTGCGAAGAAAGAGGATCGACGTTTCAGCTCCTCACAGGACTTTCATCAGGACACAAAACATCAAAATACTGAAACACACTTATATAGGACATCAAATTAATTCCAACGGGTACTTACATACAGGTGCACTTCATTTGCTTTCGCCGCCGGAACCGCCGAGATTGCCATCTTTGACAACCACACTTCCGGGTTTCTGGTCATGTGACCCCCTAGGACGTGTACATTGAACCGGCTCTAGGCTCTAGGTGTTACTGGGGCAACCATAGACAACAATGCCTCATTGGCTGCACCTATAAACACATGAGCCGTCGAGGGGCAAAAAAGTCTCCTAACACTTAGTGTTGTCATGGTGATCAAGACGCATCTCCAACTCACGAACGGAAATACAATAAAATTAGGCAAACATGTAAAAACATATTACAGCATGGGGCTATATATAATAGTGAATCAATAAACTAAGTTAAGAATAAGCACAAAAGTGGTTAAGGAATGCAAGTTTAAATCAAATTAAAGTTAATCTTAGTATAATAGATCAGCATTCGGAACAGAGTGTGAGAAAACAATTAAATAAGTGCACAACTGGTAAACAAAGTTTGTGAGTGAAATAAACACACAGCTGCTGAAATAATAAACACAATACAAAATATATGAATTATCATACTCCTCTGCAGGGTTAATAGCAAATTAGTGAATAAGTGAGATCCCCATGCATGTACTTAAAAAATCTGCACATGGAGTAAGACCCATTACTATATACATATGACATAAACAACAGGTTTTTAAAAGGCAGTCATCAGTACTGAAAAATGAACAAAAATGAAAATGAAAATAAAAATAAAAAAATAAAAAATATGAAAATATAAAATATAAGATAAAAAATAAATAAAAAATGTCAAAATGTCTAAAGAAATAAATAATAAAAAAATATAATAATATAAAACAAAAATAAGCATGAGAATGGGAAAAAATATAGAATGAAAATAAAAAATAAATGTAAATCAAACTAAAAATAAAAATAAAATGAAAATAAAAATAAAAATTCAAATAAAAATACATATAAAAATAAAAGTCAGAGTAAATATACAAAAAAAATAATAAACATAAAAATAAAATAAATAATGTAAAGCTCAAAAAAATATATAAGAACGTACCAAAATAAATTCTAAAAATAAGAACATAGATTATGGAGATGAATATCCATTAGCATACAGATATATTATTATGTTAGACATACACCCAAGGGGGTGATGGCTCAAATAATTATAGGAATGATATAAATGAGCATTTCTCATTTAAGCCTCTGGGTGCTAAGGTTCCCAACTGGCAAATCCAGTAGGTCTCTCTCTGTAGCAAGATACTAGCTCTATCCCCTCCTCGGGCCGAAATAGGAACATGCTCAATAGCAACACATCTAAATGAGGAGAGTTGATGCTTAAGTTCTAAAAAATGTCTGGCCACTGGGTTGTCCGATTTGCCATCACGATCGGCAAGCCGGATACTAGACCTGTGGCCTCTTATTCTCTCACAGAGAGCTGTTTCTGTTTTACCTATATAGTTGAGCCCACAAGGACATGTCAATTTATAGATAACAAAGTCTGTTCTGCAATGGATACGTTGTCTAATCTTGTAGGACTTGCCTGTGAAGGGGTGTGTGAAGGTTTTGGAAGGGATGAGGTGACCACATGTCACACACCCCAAACACCTCACACACCCCACATTGATGTTTTCTTTCTTCACTGGTCTATAGCAGTGACGTGGGTCCGTCTTGACCAATAGGTCCCTCAAGTTTTTATTCTGACGATAACACATCATAGGTTTCTGACGAAATATTTCAGGGAGGGAAGGATCCAATTCCAATGTATGCCAGTTGTTACGAATTGTTGAGGCTAGGTCAAAGCTAGCAGTATTAAATTGCATAGGAAATAAACATCTATTGTCCGTCTTCTTCTGAATTGTAGAAGGAGGAGTCAAAAAGCTAGAGTTAGCTCGATCCAAAGCCTTATCCAGAATCAGCCATGGGTATCCTCTCAATAGAAATTTTTCATACATCAAATGTATTTGTTGCCCACGTAGATGTTCAAGGGAATTGTTTCGTAAGACTCGTAAGAATTGTGAGTAAGGAAGCGACTGTTTAAGGTGTTTCGGGTGGAAACTTTCAAAATGTAGAAGAGTGTTCCGGTCTGTGGGTTTGGTAAAGAGTGTGTATTTCAGCTTTCGGTTGATAATCATCAATTCAATATCAAGAAATTGGACACGGTGCTTGTCTATAGTTGAAGTTAACCTGACCTGTGTTGGTAACTCATTAAGGTTGTGTACAAATTGTATCGCTTCCTCTTTTGAACCATTCCACAATATTAGAATATCATCGATAAATCTGAAGTAACGGCCAATCTGATGTGTATAGCGTTGAAGAATGTGATTGGTCTCATACTCATACATAAAGGCGTTTGCATACATGGGGGCCCTTGCAGTCCCCATCGAAGTTCCGGCTATCTGTAAGTACCAGCTATTTTAAAAACGAAAATAGTTGTTTTGCAATGTAATGCCCAGAAGTTCCAGAACAAATTCAATCGGAGGGCCATGGTATTGTGGTGATTGAGAAAGAAGATTACGCATGGCTTGTATGCCTAATTCATGAGGAATGATTGTGTATAAACTTCCTACATCTAAAGTCATGAGGATACTGTTGAAAGAGCCCACCTGCTGAAGGCGTCGTAAGAGATCAGGAGTATCTTTGATGCATGTTGTTAAAGAAGAAACTGGATTGTTGAAGAGGAAGTCAAGGTATTTTGCTATTGGTTCAAGGATCCCCTGGGTAGCAGATACAATGGGACGCCCAGGTGGATGTTCCAAATTCTTGTGTATCTTCGGAAGTGTGTACAAAACAGGGATGCGAGGATTTTTGGTTTGTAAATATTGGAATAATTCCAATGTTATATGTCCTGCATTCAGGCCATACATAAGCACTTCTTCAATGCTTTTGGCTATTGAACCGGTGGGATCATCGACCAACTGCTGGTAAGTCTTAGTGTCACTCAATTGTTGCCTGATTTCTGCTGCGTAAATCTCATAATCTAGGATCACAATCCCACCCCCCTTATCCGCCGGTCGGATCACAATTGTGTGGTCTGTGGCTAGATTCTTAATCTGGGAGTGTTCATTTTTAGATAAATTAGAATGTTTAGGATGATGCCGACGTAATAGAGTTTCAGATTCCCACTTGGTTGACGAGAGGAAAGATTTGATGGCTACCTGATTAGTAGGAGGGTCAAACGTGCTGGGTGGCTTGAATTGATGTGTAGTTATCATCGTCGAAGAATTCAGAGAAAGCGAAGGAGAGTTTTTAAAAAAACTCTTTAAGTCTCAAGGAGCGACCAAATTTAAACAAGTCCACCTCCCATTTAAATTGATTGGGAGTAGAGGTTGGAATAAATGAGAGGCCTTTACTAGGGTCTCTGGAGTTGTTAATTCTCATTTGGATAAGTTGAACACTGGAATTATTTGCGAATCGGAGGTTTTCCCTTGGGATTGTCCCTTCTGTCCTCGTCTAATATGTGACCTTTTCCGTCTTTTGCTTTGCTCCTTGTGACCGTCGTGGACTGTATGGTCCTGTTGTTTTCCCCATCTTTGTCTAAAAAAGAGGGTCTGTCTGGTCGTGAATGCATTCCTTCATTTTCTGATGCAGATTACCCCGATGTTACATCAATGGTGGTTATGTTTGGTTTGAAAATTTTCTTACGGAATCTTCTCGGTTTCCCTTTTTGATCGCCCAGTAACCATCTATAAACTGTACCCTCCTGATAATCAAGTTGAACCATCTCCATTTTCTGTCGTTTAAACTTAATAAGTTGGTTTTTGTATTTAAGGATTTCCTCACTCAGTTTCAACGAAGTTTCCATACCTTCCTGTGTACTTAATTGGAGGGCATATTCTGTTTCAAGAGTTTGAATCTTCTTTCTAATGTCAATCAAGTCTTCTTTCACATCCTGAATGGTAACCAACATGAGGTCTAGGGAACATTTATTGAGTACTGCCGTCCAGTCTCTGCACACCTTAACTTTCTTTCTTCCTATGGTTGGAATATTTCTAACCCTAAAACCGCGGGGGATATAACAATTAAAAGCATGAATTAATTTCAAAGTCAGCATTCAAGACGTGGGGATGCATGGTATCGAAGTTGAAAATCCATCTCATTTTTGATACTCCAACTAACCTTTTTATGTCCTATTAGGAAGAAAAACAAATATTTTCCCATGAGGACATTAGGGCAAACCTGGTCCTCTACATATGCTACATCGAAGATATTTTTATTATATGGCGTGGTAATGAGGAATCCCTTTTAAATTTTACAGAAGATCTTAACCGAAATAGTTGCAATATCAAACTAACGTATGAAATTAGTGCAGAACAAATCAATTTTCTAGATCTATTAATTTATGTTGACCACAGCCAACTAAAGAGTAAAACCTTTTTTAAGTAAGTCGACGTTAACAGTTTTATTGATTTTAAAAGTTGCCATTTTAGACCATGGTTAGCCAACATCCCCAAAGGCCAGTTTTTAAGATTAAAACGGAACTGTACGGATTTAAATCATTATAAGGATCAGACATTCATTTAAAAAAAAATCAGTTTATTACTATGGGTTATGATCCAAACAAGATAGGTATATGAGGAATTTGAAAACCAAGACCAGCTCTCCTCAAATATAAAGAAAAAACACTAAAATATTGAACGGATAAGGAAGATATCCCATTGATTTTTAATTATTTTTTTTTTTTAAATTCTTTATTTTTCTTGTGCACAAGGTTACATACGAGCTTGCAGTGCCACAGTGGGTCATTGATTTTTAGTTTTAATGCAAATAGTTCCAATTTACAACAAATTATTAAGAAAAATTGGCATATTTTAAAACAAGATCAGGATATTAATAATTTTATAGAGAGTAAACTCTGTTTTATTTTCTGAGGGGCCAATAATCTTAAAAAGCTTTTTAGATAAAACAAATATTAAAGAGAATGACAACTTTTTAAGTAGAGGGAATGGATTTTATTATTGTAAAAATTGCAGGGGTTGCACTTTAAGAGATCATAAAAAGAATTAATCTCATTTCGGACCAAGCAAAAGTTTAATAGTAAATCTTTTATTACTTGCAATACCAGGAATGTTATCTATATGTTAACGTGTCCCTGCAGTTTCCAATATATTGGAAAGACATAGAGGTCTCTTAAAATAAGAATTTGAGAATACATTTATAATATTAACAGAAACTTCAATCTTCATAGTCTTTCCAATAATTTTTTATAGAAACGTAATGGGAATCCGCAGCGACTTGAATCAATAAAGACCCACTGGAGAGGAGGATATAGATATCAATAGCCTCCTAAGCAAGTTAGAAATGAGATGGATTTTCAACCTCGATACCCTGCATCCCCACGGCATGAATGCTGACTTTGAAATTAATTCATGCTTTTAATTGTTGTTGTTCCGATTCATATATAAAATTATTTTATTTAGATTTTTAAACATATTTCTTATACTGTTTTTATTAATTTCTATCCTTTCTTCACTGTAGGAAATTCATGCATCCTTATTAATGCTTCTTTATTTCCTCATTAGTATTTTCACAATATATTATGTTTATAGGATTTTATATATATATTTGTTATAATATGTTTCATTCCTTGCTTCTCTTTACTTCCATGGGTTGCATTGTGTCCCCCTTATTATAATGTATTACTTCAGATACATGGTGGACTTTCTAACTGTATATAGCCTGTGTGCATAGGACTCTGAATACACGTGCTGAAACTCTGATTGGGTCTGACATCAGACACGAAGAGACGTTGAGACGTCTGAATATGCAAAGGTCGCGAACTCTGAAGTGAATATCGGTAACATGGAGGAAGGCACCAAAATACATTTAAAAGGAAGACAAAGAGACACTCACATCAGAACCACTTTTGATAAAGACCAACCATCCGAAAAGCATCAAGTGGAGGTGGACTACTATTTACCTAAGTTTGTAAGATTTGATTTTGATTTTACTGTTTGTTCTCAATAAAGCCAGTGGTGCTTTTATACACCCGTATCCAGTTGTTTGGAGTTCCTTATTGGTACCATACTGGGAAAGGAGGGAAATCATTGAACCAGAACATCCAGATTCTTACAAGGTGGCCACCGTTACTTCTATACAGAGCTTTTAATCTGAGCATTCTTGTGGAGTGGCTCAGAACCATGTGAGTAGATCCAATATTTATTTTTTAACATTATATAGTTTTAACTATATTACCCTATGTATATATTCCCTTTTGTTTACAGCTATGCATTTGGTACCCAGGAAGTATCGACAGGAGCTGCTGAAGTTAGCTCACGATATTCCTCTGGCAGGGCATTTGGGAAAAATTGTAAAACCAATCGACTCACACACAGCCTTTTCTGGCCCAGTCTCTCCCAGGCCTACGAGGTCTGCCAGAAGGTGGGGAAGCGGGGCGACCGGCACAAGGCCAAGCTCCAGCCTCTACCCATCATTGAAAACCCCTTCAACAGGGTAGCTGTTGATATCATAGGCCCCCTGGCTAAGCCTAGTCCCTCTGGGAAGAAATATATTCTGACTATTTTGAACTACGCAACTCAATATCCCAAGGCAGTCACCCTGAGCAACATTCAGGCAGAGACTGTAGCGAAGCCCTGATCCGAATGTTCTCCTGGATGGGTTTTCCCCGGGAGATTATCTCGGTTCAGGGCACCCAGTTTACTGCCGAGGCAACCCACCAGCTGTGGAGGTTATGTGGCATAAACTGATCCTGGTAAGCATGGCAGCTGCTAGCTGCGAAGGGAGAGACCTTCTTAACCCTTCCAGGGTGTACCCCCTTAGCCACCCACCGGGTAGAGACCCGCGACCAACAACCTCTGAGGCAGACCCCGTACCAAATACCGGAGGCGGTTTGGGAGAATATGAAAATGGAGATCCAAGAGATGCTCTGACTTGGGATGATTGAACCGTCCGAGAGTCCATGGGCCTCCCTAGTACTCCTGCTCCCAAAACAAGTTGGAACCACCCAGTTCTGTGTGGACTACAGGAGACTCAACAACAAGACGGTCTTGGATGCCTACCCCATGCTTCGCATAGACAAGCTCCTAGACAGGATGGCTCTTGGCCAGTGCCTCACCACAATAGATTTGTGTAAGGGGTACTGGCAGATCCCCCTGATGGGGGATGCTGTCCCTAA